ACTGACCCCTCTTAACACAGCAGTAATGGCAGGAAGTAATTAGAGACGATCTCATGACACATTTCTCTTGGTCTTAAAAGGACTCTGACAAGTGATTTATCTATCAAGATTCATCTACCAAATTGCCAATCTTCTATCAAGTTTACTGAATTATAACTTTATTGTTTTCTATATCTTTGTAGATTGACAAAAGGGCAATGGTGTCACAAGAGGCTTCCCTCTGTTAGATCACCCTTAAAATCAGTTTATTTTGCCCTTTATTTATAATTTACCATATCTAGATTACTTAAGCTATAAAATTAGAAGCATTAAATATCATTCCTTCCCACTTCTTATCATCTTCTTAAATTGTCACCAAATTTAGTCAAGAGTGGTAGGTATCTGTCAATTTCTTTGAAATATTAGCCTCCAAAGACCCTTGTAGTAGCTGCATCGAAGCCAATCATCAGTACTTGGAGTACTTACTTTCTGTAGATCATAGAAATAGGTTTTAAAAGAAATGTCCCTGCAGAGCTTAAAATTCAACAGGAGAACCTGAATATTCACTTTAAACAGCGAAACAATATATATTTGCAAATAAAAAACTCTTAATAAAAGGAAATGAAGCAAAGAAGTCTATAACAACTATATATTATTCCCTTGGCCCTTCAAACAGTAAGTAGCGCTATGTAATTAATGCTTTAATGCTTTCTTACCATCAAAAATATTTCTGATTATCACAGTTCTCAATGAGAAAGCTCTTATGGATTATCAAGGTGTCTAAAAATCTCTGTAAAGTTTCCTGGACTCCTGTTAGTCACTACCTCAAAACACACATCTTGACAATGCTGACACAGAAATATGGGTCAGCTTTACTAAATGCCTACCTCATCATCACTTCCCTTTCTAATTCATCCTCCTTGTTAGCGTTTTCTTTGCCAAGAGATAAAGACACATTCTTTACTTCTGAAAGAACTGCAAATTATACTTTTATTTTATTTGAAAAGGTCTGGCAGTGTCAGAAATATGTCTAAAAACCTTACTCTTAGCTAAAGTGCTTAGTCCTCTTTAACCAGTGATGAACTCCTCTTTTGATAGTAAAAACCTTTCCCATATTTATTTGTTACTAAAACTGCTAAGAGCTGTGCACAAATTTCTGTAGTACATGGACACTCTAAAAAATAAAGCAATGAGACATAAAAAATGCAATGTTTTCTATTTATTTATAAAATTAAGACTATAAGAACTGAAATCAATCTTAAAAGATAAGTCACTCCACTGTATTTTGGAAAGGAATAATTTGTAACTCATTTCTTAATAACCTTACCTCTGAGGAAAGTTCACTATTAACATCAATCTCTTCTGAATTTTCATCAAAGTCTTCCATCTCAACACCATCGTCCACAACTTCTGCATTAATTGAGATGAACAGAAGACCCAAACATAGCGAAAAGCCTTGGAAATGCATATTGATTATCTGTGAAATTAAAAGTAATTAGTAAAAATAAATCAAGGTTTTGAAAAATAAGTGTTAAGTATATCAGGAAGAAATAATTTATCTTTAATACCTTCTTTATTCTAGGATGGCTTTTAAAACAAATCATTAATAAAAACTCCACATGAATGGTAACAAAATACATTTTCAAACCTCTAGGAAACTTCTAAAATTTAGATTATCATTAGTGTTAAGTTATGAAGATACTTAAACAGAAATGGCCATGTGGACCTTACTATAGAAGTGAAATATTTAAAAAATGAACTGCCATTGGTCACAAACAATTCTGTGGACAATGCAGTTCCACAGGATAATAACCATCATTAAGAAAATGATACAGTCCAAGGCTGTTTATTTTATTTTTTAAGACAAGGTCTCACTTGTCACCATGGCTAGAATACAGTGGCATCATCATAGCTCACTGCAACCTCAAAGTCCTGGGCTCAAGTGATCCTCTTGTCTCAGCCTCTGGAGTAGCTGGGACTCCAGGGATGTGCCACCACATCTGGCTAATTTTTCTGTCTTTTGTAGAGACGGGCTCTTGCTCAGGCTGGTCTTGAACTCCTGGCCTCAAGCAATTCTCCTGCCCCAGCCTCCCAAAGTGTTAGGATTACAGACATGAGCCACCATGCCTGGCCAATTTACATATATAGTAAATCAGAAATATAGATCTAATACTTTCTGCTTAACTTTGCAGCATCTTCTCATTATTCAATGATGTACCAACTGACAATTAAGAATTAAATTATGAAGTTCACAGTATAGAAGTCTATCACACAATGTTGTGGTATAAATAAGTCTACTGAGCTGCCCGTCATATAAAAGCATAACACATGCAATTATGCACAGCACACAGTACTTGATAATGATAATAAATGACTATGTTACTGGTTTATATATTTACAATGCTATATTTTTTATCATTATATTAGAGTGTATTCCTTCTACTTAGTTCAAAAAAAAAAAAGAAAGGTAAACTGTAAAATAGCCCAGGGCAGTTCCTTCAAGAGGCTTTCCAGAAGAAGGCATTGTTATTACAGGAAATGAAAGCTCCCCATGTATGTCATTGCCCCTGAAGACCTTCCAGCAGGACAAGATGTGGAGGTGGAAGACAGTGATATTGATAATCCTGACCCTGTGTAGGCCTAGGCTACTGTGTGTGTGTCTTAGTTATTAACAAAAAGTTTAAAAGAGTAAAAAATAAAAAAATTTAAAAATAGAAAAAAGCATATGGAGTAAGATATAAAGAAAGAAAACATTTTTGTATAGTATACAATGTGTTTGTGTCTTAAGCTAAGCGTTACTAGAGAAGAGTTAAAAAGTTTAAAAAAATTAAAAGTCTGTAAAGTAAAAACATTACAGTAAGCTAAAGTTAATTCATCATTGAAGAAAAATATTTTTTATAAGTTTAGTGTAGCTTAAGTGTACAGTGTTTATAAAGTCAACAGTAGTGCATGGTAATGTCTTAGGCCTTCCATTCACTCATCACTCACTGACTCACCCAGAGCAACTTCCAGTCCTGCAAGCTTCATTTCTGGTATTAACGAGTACCCTATACAGTGTACCATTTTTTATCTTTTCTACTGTGTTTTTACTGTATCTTTTATATGTTTAGACAAATACTTCCCATTGTGTTACAATTAAATACAGTATTTAGTACAGTAACATGCTGTACAGGTTTGTAGCCCAGGAAGCAATAGGCTAAGTGACGCGTGACTGTATTCTCCATCTATGAAGAAACATCTCTTATTATAAGTTTCTTCAGTCTTACTATAGACATGCTGCATTTTCACAACTCTAACCATAATTCACTTTAATAGAAAAGATAGTAAACAAGAAATTAGGTTAAATTTTTTTTATCACATCATGCAAATAATACTGGACAATTTTTCACCAAAATTAGAGGGTTCTCTTGAAATTATCTGGCTAGGCAGCATATAGAAAATTCACTTCGAAGGATCACAAATGAGACGGGAGGCAGGTAATGGTCGCCTCTTAAAGAGCAGCCTTCTTCTCAAGAAGCTACATGACTTGGTTCAAAATGCTGCTACCTTCATAGAAGCAACTAGCATGAATCAGAATAAACTGATTTACTGATTTCTTGATGGCTAATATTTCACCCAAGAAATCCTTGGGAGGTCAGCCAGTAAATAATAAAACTCATCATTCACTAATTCATTAAAAAATATTTATGATTGTCAATTATGTGCCAGGCATTATGTTACACACTACATCTACAGTAATTAGCAAAATGTACATGACCTCTGATCTCAAAGAGCTTGTAGTCCACGATAGAAAGGAGATAATAAATATTCTAAAAAAAAAAGGAGATAATAAACAAATAACCTAGGTATAATACGCAAACTATAATAAGTGACAGAAAAGTAAAGAAGTTGTGGCAGTTGGTAATTGGGGAACTGAATTTACATGGTTGGGGAGGGGTCAGGAAAAGCCTCTTTGAGGAAGTAATATTAATACTTAGAGATGCAAAGGACAGGAGGATTGACTTTCCTAGGCCAAGGACAAAGGAAGCAGTGTATGATAAAGGAGCCAAACAGGGAAGACTGGAAAAATATGAAGTGCTATTTTTGAGTACATACTTTGTTTCAAGCATATTAATTCCAATCTCTCTATGGTGAAGGTATTAGTATTGAATTTTACACATAAAGAAAGTGAGGCTCAGGGAGATGAGTAATTTGGGCTACACATTGCTACGAAATAGAAAAGCCAAGACTCAGAATGTTAGGTCTAGCTTCAAGCTCCATATTCGTTTCATTATGGTTCTAAGATTAAAAGATTAAATTATGTAATCCTCACTAAATAGCATTAAAGTTCTAAGTCTAAAAAAATATAGTTCAGTGTTATTTACTTACTATATCCCATCCTTTAGACATATATGCCAATTTTTGTGTTTTATATTTTAAAAGCCATATTTTGATGTGTAGTCATATAACATTTTATGCACATATCCTTAGTTGGTTAAATGGCTTTTTTTTTTTCCAGCAAAGACTTTAAAGCAGCTTAAAGGATACATCCAAATACTAACAAACTTATGGTATTACCTTATATTTTCATGGCACTCTAAAATTTTACAAAGTATGCTCATATATATTTCAGGATATTTAAGATACTTGCATTTCTTACTTAAAAAGCACAAGGATAAATAATAAAGTTTACTATTGGAACTATATATCACATGCTAGATAAGATGTATGTTTCCAGGTATCTCTTTTCCTTAACAAAGTTTCTGGAAAGCCTGTCTCCATTAACTGTTAATACTTCCAATTTTCTATGATAGGCTGAATAATGGCCCTCAAAGATGTCCACACTTGGATCCTGTGAATGTTACCTCTCACAGCAAAAGGGGCTTTGCAGATGAAATTAAGGCTGCTAATAAGCTGACTTTAAAACAGGGAAAAATATCCTGGATTATCCAGGTGGGCCCAATGTAAATATAGGTGCCCTTAAAAGTGGAAGAGGAAGTCACAGAGAGACAGGCAGAAGACATTTCAAGAGGGAAAGGGACTCCAGCCACCATCCCACCTTGAAGATGGAGGAAAGGAGCCAAGAGCCAAGGAATGCGGGTAGCCTCTAGAGCTAAAAACAGCCCTCAGCTGACAGTCAGTCAGGAAACAGGGACCTCAGTCCTGTTGCTCCATGAATTAATATAAAAACGCGTCTGCAGACAGGATTTGTCTTAGCAGTTTTTCAGAGCTTTGCCCTGAAGGAATATGTGAACGTGTTGGTTTGCATTTCAAATGCTGTTACACTCTCGGAAGGGCGTCTCTGAAAGACAGTAGTGGCTGTATCCCACAAGGCACCTCTGAAAGACAGCAGTGGCTGTATCCCACAAGGTGCCGCATTTCTCAGACTTAAAAGTTTGGATTTGCTTTGTAAAGCAAAGTGAATCTGTTAAAAACTACAGGCTGAGAGCTGACAATGGAGTGCCCTCCGGAAGAGACAGCTTCCGGAATGGCTAAAAGCAAAGCTCTTGTTTTAACACTCTAGACTACCTGTCTCCATTCACATTAACCAAATAAACATGGAGCCAACATATCTCTGTTTAACCCCTCTGTTAAGTGATAAACTTACCTTAGAACTTAGAAGTTAA